ATAAAGAAAAGCGGTTTATTTAGCTTATGATTCTGGTGGCAGGAAAGTCCATGAGCACGGTGCTGGCACTGCTCAGCTTTTCCCGAGAGCCACGTGCTGCATCACCACATGCTGGGGAAGCTGAAAGGCAAATGGTGTGTGCAAGAAAGACCAAACATGAGGAGGAACCTCACTTTATAACAACCTGCTCTGTCAGGAACTCATTCATGCAAGAGCAAGAACTCACCCCTGCAAGTAGACTCTGCAGGCCTGGTTGTGGGACCCCCATGTGACCTGACTGTTCACAAAGTGGCGTTATCTGATTCACCAGTCAGGAAGCTGGTGTGCCCTGCAGGGGTCACTCAGGAAGCAGAAGTGGATATATGAGGTGGGGTGGGGCAGCCCCCAGCACAGGTGTGCTGCGTGAGCAGGTGCTCAGGCCCTCAAGGAACCTGCCCAATGCTGCCCCACCCCACCTCATATATCCACTTCTGCTTCCTGAGGGACCCCTGCAGGGAGGATGGAGCAGCCCATACCAAGAATAAACAGCCTGAGACATACCAGATGCCCCCTCAGGACACCCAGGGCCTCACGCAGCTCCACCTGCTCCACCTCACGCAGCTCCACCTGCTGGTCTGAGGCCAGGGACGAGGCAAAGCAACCAGAGTCTGGGCCATCCTTGGACATGTTTGGAAAGAATTCAAGGAGGGAGAGACCTGGACCAGCTCTTAGAGAATCGATCACATTCCTCCCCTGATAAAGTGACTTCCTGTAGCACTCAGCCTCTCGGACCTGCGCTGCTCTGCCTCTTGCCGCTCCTCCCAGCCTTCTTTCTCGGCTTCTGCTCATCCTCCCAAACTCTACACAGCAGAGAAACCCAGAGGTCAAACCTCGGACCTCATCTCTTTTCTACTTACACACAACCCCTTGGTGATCTCATCTTTCTCATAATACTTCCTCCCACAAACTCTAGAATCTTACGTCCAACTGCTTTCCAGACAGCTCCACTTGGATGCTATCTGGCAGCTCAGTCTTAACATCCACACTGAGATGATTTTCCTCCATAATGCTGCTCCTCCCACAGCTCTGTTACTGGTAACTCCATTCTTCCAGATGCTCAGACCAATCACCACGGAAGGATCTGTGGCTGCTCTTGTTTGCACACATTCAATCTGTCAACAACTGATCCTGCTGGCTACACATTCAAACCATCTACAGAGTCTGACCACTTTTTTTCAACCACCATCACTTCCATCACTCTGATTTAAGCCTTAGTCATCTCTTTCTGGGACTACTGTGCAGGTCTCCTGACCAAATCTCTGGGCTTCCACCCTCATTCCTACAGTTTGATGTCCACAGAGCAGCCAGCGATCCTTTAAAATCCAAGCCAGTCACACCACCACTCTGATCAAAACCCAAAGCCTTCCTATCAAGCTTAGAGTAAAACTAAAATCCTTTCTAAGGCACATGAGACCCCACACAATTGGGAATCCCACTTCCTGCTTCGCCATGTCTCCTATACTTGACTTTCTTCTCTGTCCCTTTGCTCCAGCCACTCTGGCCTCCTTACTGGCTCTGAACCTGACGACTAGTCAGGGCTCTGTGTTTGCTGTGCCCTCAGCCTGGGAGGCTCTTTTTTTTTTCTTTTGAGACAGAGTCTCACTCTGTTGCCCAGGCTAGAGTGAGTGCCATGGTGTCAGCCTAGCTCACAGCAACCTCAAACTCCTGGGCCCAAGCAATCCTCCTGCCTCAGCCTCCTGAGTAGCTGGGACTATAGGCATGCGCCACCATGCCCAGCTAATTTTTTCTATATATATATTAGTTAGACAATTAATTTCTTTCTATTTATAGTAGAGACGGGGTCTCGCTCTTGCTCAGGCTGGTTTCGAACTCCTGACCTCGAGCAATCTGCCAGCCTTGGCCTCCCAGAGTGCTAGGATAACAGGCCTGAGCCACTGCGCCTGGCCCTGGGAGGCTCTTATTCACAAGTTGCCCAGACACTGCAAGTTCCTCAGAGCTATATTCACATCACCCTAACAGGGAGGCTTTATCTGACCATCCTAATGTGGCAATTCCAACCTCCTCAACTTTAACTTTTTTCATGACACTTAGCACCATCTGACACATGATATACTTGTTTATTGTTTCCCCCAATTAAAAAGGAAGTTACATGTGGGGGAGGTCTTTGTGTTGGTCATTGTTACAACATCAGCATTTTGAACAGTGCCAAACATAATGTAGGAACTTGAATATTTGTTAAATGAATGATCACCTTCTCTGAACTCACAGGACTTGTCAATGCCAGTTGCTCTGATCTTTGATCAGTTACTTCTTTACATATCTTTCTCCCTTCAAGATAGATGTCCCAATAGAAGTGAAAATATCACCTTCATATCTCTAAGGATTATAGCAGAACCTTCCAACAGAACTTTCTGCAATCGAAATGTTCTATTAATATATATGCACTGTCCAATACAGCAGCCATTATCCACATGTGCCTACTGAAACCTCAAATATGACTGGTGTGGCTAAGGAACTGAATCTTAAATTTTATTCAATTTTAATTAATTTACATTTAAATAAGCACATGTGGTATGGTAGTATATTGTACAGCACTGATCTAGAACCTCAAGTGGAGCACAAAATAGTGGTTACAAAAACGTCAATGAGTTGGGTAAGCCTTATTGACATTTCTAATGTTATTATTTATAGATTTATAGAATTCAGTGAGAGCAGACACTTGTCTTGCAGTCTCTCCAAACCCTTACAGAATAGCCCAGAACCGTACCTGCAAGAAGTAATGAATAAACTGATGACAAAGAAGTCAGTCATGAAAGGAAAGGGGACAAATAAAAGATTCCTATGTAGTACAATTCAATTTTAAATGTTCAACTTCTGTGGCAGGCAAACAAGAGTTTATTAGGATTTAATTAAAAACATACTTATGAAGCAGTTCCTGCTCCACTGTTATTTTTAACCCTGTTAAAAATACTGGAGGAAGTAACCCTTACCAAGTCTTGTGGGTAAACTGTGTAAGGCTGGTGGTGGGCCTTCCCGTCTGTCTGTCTTTTCTTTTCGCTGCCACCAAAAACCTTACATTTGGTGCCGAAACCAGGGAGGGGAGCCTTGGTCACGCTGGCCTGCCTCAGGGCCATGGTCGCGCCATCTCCTCTCGTGTCTTCCTGACCTCGGACCAGGACCTCCACCCGATGCCAGTCGGCTAATTGGCCTGGGTGAGTCCCTCTGCCCTTGCAGTCCTAGCCCAATGTGTCCATTCTAGGGTCTCTGTCCATAAAACCTTGGGCCCAAGTAAGAGATCCTCTACTATAAGGATCTGAGTGTCTCGGGGACGCCTGACCCCCTCAGTCAGTTCTTCCATCCATAAGGCCCTGAGTGCCTCAGGGATGCCTGATGCACTCAGTCAATCTTTCCCAAGGCTCAGAGCCTTCTCTCCAAGGCCTGATCGGTGACCTGGGACGCAGGCTCCCTGATCTCGTCCTTCCCTCATTGGACTAGGACACCATGGGCAGTCAACCCTCCAAAGTCAAATCTCGCCTCTGGGCTGTCTCTTAGCCAATGTTACAGCCCTGGGCCTCAAGCCTGATATTCTTTTCAATCTACAAGCAAAAGAAATTAATTGGCCAACTAAAAATACATAGGAAAAAATATCAGCTGGGCATGGCGGCTCATGCCATATAGTTCCAGCTACTCAGGAGGCTGAGGCAGGAGGATTGCTTGAGCCCAGGAGTTTGAGGTTGCTGTGAGCTAGGCTGACGCCACGGCACTCTAGCCCGGGCAACAGAGTGAGACTCTGTCTCAAAAAAAACAAAAAAAGTTTTCGGTTCCTGGATTCTGCAAATATGTCAGCCCCTCCTATTCCTCAATAATCCCCCAAAAGTCACAGTGGAAAAACCCCAGCTCTTCCAGCCAAAAGCCCCTTACCTGCCCCAAACAGTATGAAGGCATTCACCCCTTTCAAACGGAGTGACTTTTTGGGCCCCCCTCTCTTGGGACTCTCGAACCTAGCCTGGGAGCACTCAACATAGCCACGTTGTTTGGCCCCACTCTCTGTCTTTTCTTTTCGCTGCCGCCAAAAACCTTACAAACTGCAGACAAAAGAACTTAAAAAAAAAAAATCTCTTACCAAGGCTCGCTGCCTTAAGAGAAACTTTTAACTCAGTATTATTTCTTTCCCAGTCTCTCTACTTCCAAAAGACCCCTCCCATACACACACTCACAGCACCTCATTTTCCTCTAGATGCAAACGGATGCAACAGCTTCAAGATCTGCAGGACAAACGCCCTGCATACCTACTTGCGCTGAACAGGCTGAATTCAGATGCTCACACCTGGCTCAGAAAAGCAAGCAGAGGTTGGGTGAGAGCAGCGTGGGGGTGGCTGGGTTATCTGGGAGGAGGGAGACAGCAAGGTGGGTTCCTCAGAGTCTGAAGGTCGAAGGTCGAATGGGGAGGCAGAGAGGATGGGTCTCAAAGTGGGCTAATGTAGACCCCATGACAGACTGGAAAGTTCCCAAATTCTTCCCAGGAGGCGGGAGGAGCCCTCCGAAACCAACCGGCCGAGCAGAGGGGGCGATCTCCAGACCACTGGACCCCGGCCCCGCACCCGCCTCCACCTGCCGGGGCCCATGCTCGGGCGGGCGGGCAGCCCCGGGCCCGGGCGAGGGCGCGGCTCGCTACCTGCGAGGTCAGGCCCTGCTCCTCGTCGTCCTGGCCGCTCAGGACTCGCCGCAGCTTCTCCATGGCGCTGTCCCCGGGCCGCAGCGCCGGCTCCCCGCGCCAGCCAGGAAACCCGGAACTCGCACCCGCGGCCGGCCGGAAAGTCCGAGCCGGCCCCTTTTCCGGCGCGTCACTGGCCCAAGCGGCCGCCGTAGCGGTGCGCGCATGCGCGCCGGCTCCCTCCGTGACGTGGGGGAACGGGCGCTGGGGGCGTGTCCGTCCCGCCGGTGTCCGGGTGCGCGGTGGTCTCGCGCGAGTGACACGGCGCGCGCGGACCCGGCTTCCGGCCAGACCCCGGCCGGGACGAAGGCCCGGGGTGGTCGTGCGGGGCCGGCGGCGCGGCAGGGACGCTCCCGCGCAGCCCGGCCCGGGTGGGAGCGGCTCGTGCCCCGGCCCCGGCGGGCGCTTTCTCGTCATTCTCCGCCGGGCTAAGGAGGGAGAGTAACAGTCCGAGCCGCCTGCCCGTGCGGGCTGCGGAGAAGCTCGGGCTTTCCGTGAGTACGCCGCCGCGAAGCCGCCCCGTGGCCGGCTCGCCCTCCGTTCGCTCTCAGGGTTGGGGAGATGGTGCGGAAAGTGCTGTTTCCTTTTGCTGCCTCACCTCCTCTCTGGCCTCCCCAAAATCTGACCGTTGGAAGCTGGCCCCCAAAGACTTGCGTTGTTCATCCCCCTGCCTTTGGTCGGGGTTTTATGGAATGTCCATTAGATCAAAACAAATATTATAGGACACCTAGAAAAGCAGGTCATATACTTCCTCTTGTCGACGGAAAAAAGCCAAACTCCGTAAAATAATTTTAAAGAGATTTATTCTGAGCCAAATTGGAGGACCATGACCCAGAGCCACTGCCAAGAGGCCTTGGGCAAGTGGACTCGCCGTGGCTGGGTGACAGTTCAGTTTTATGCATTTTCAGAGAGACAGGGGTTGCAGGCAAAGTCACAAGTCAATACATGAGAGGCACACACTGGTTTGGCCCAAAAAGGTGGGACATCTGGAAGCCGGGGCTTACAGGTTATAGGTGGGTTTAAAGATTCTTTGGCTGGCAATTGGCTGAGAGAGTTAGACTTTATCTAGAAGACCAGAAAGGATATGCTTACTTTGAGATGGAAGGGTATGAGCACTCTGGGAGGTCCAGACACGAGGACGTTTTAAATTTACAATAGGCGCCTGCTGGGATGCTTGAGTTAAGATATTTTAAATTTATGATAGGCATCTGCTAGGATGCTTGAGTTAAGACAGGGGCTTCCTATCTTTTAGGTGATGTTAATGCCATACCAGAATCAGGTTGGGAAGTAAACCGCTGCTTTATTTGGTTAACAAAAGCCGCTTAGTAGGAATTTAGCATTTGTCAGCCTGACCCAGCTGGCCTCCTTAGGAAAGAGTTTTTAGCAAAAGAAAAAGATCAGAGTTCAGTCCTCACTCTGATAAAGCAGTCCAATGCTCAGCGTTCTTCGGGCAGAGAATATTTATATCTGGCCTGTTCATACTAAAGTGTGAAGTCTTATCTTTTCATCCTCGGCTTTAAAAGGTGAGAAAATAGATGATAAAATGGGCGTGGTGGGCTCACACCTGTCATCGTAGCACTCTGGTAGGCCAAGGCGGGAGGATCGCTCAAGGTCAGGAGTTCGAAACCAGCCTGAGCAAGAGCTAGATCTTGTTTCTACTAAAAATAGAAAGAAATTAATTGGCCAACTAAAAGTACATAGAGAAAATTAGCCGGGCATGGTGGCGCATGCCTGCAGTCCCAGCTACTCGGGAGGCTGAGGCAGGAGGATCGCTTGAGCCCAGGAGTTTGAGGTTGCTGTGAGCTAGGCTGACGCCACAGCACTCACTCTAGCCTAGGCAACAAAGTGAGACTCTGTCTCAAAAAAAAAAAAAAAAAAAAAGAAAAAGAAAAATGCGCAAAGTAACAAACCTCCGTGCTTCTATTTAATAAAAATGTAAGTACATCTATACGTGCTTTCAGGATTTTTCTTTTCAAGTATAGTAACTTTAGTTTTCCATATGGAAAAAGATGAAATAAACCGATACCTCTAGTAATGAAAGAAAAATGCTTTCCAAGGATAAATGAGGCTGAACCATATGAAATTGCCAATCTTCAACTAAAACAGATGAACATAAAAAGGGCAGTTTTATATGATTCAGCCTGGACTTGGGTATAAGAAATTTTACTTAGAAAGTAATATTGAAGGTTTAAGAATATAGTTTGGGCTTTTTTACTTCCTGTACTCTGAGCCAAGCTCAGTTTCCTGAAAAATACCGTACAGTTTATTTGAGATACATCCATATGGAGGTAATGAAATGATCTAGGCTCTCGAGTCAGACTGCCTAGGTTAGAATCCTGCTTCACCATTTTGTAGCTGCAGGATTTGGGGCAAACCAGCCTAAACTGTTTCATTTTCTCATACGTGAAAATAGTTCCCACCTTGTAGGGCTGTTATGAGGATTAAATGAAATAATACCACAACCAATTCTCATTATTCATAGACTCCGCATTTGCAAGTGCACAAACTGATAAAATGTATTTGTTGCTCCAAAGTCAGCACTTGCAACACTTTTGAGGTCATTCACGGACAGAGTGGTGAAAAATTAAAGTTGCCCAAATCACATGTTCCTAGCTGAGGTCAAACGTGACACCTGCCTTCTTGTTGCAGCTCATATTATTAAGTGTCTTTTCCACGGCCTATTTAGTGCCACATTTTTGTGCTTTTTTTTGCTGGTGATTTCACTGTTTTAAGATGGTCCCCCAGGATGGTGTTAAGGTACTTTCTATTGTTCTTAAGCACAAGAAGGCCATGATGTGCCTTACGGAGAAATACCTGTGTTGAAGAAGCTTCATTCAGGCAAGAGTTACAGTGCTATTGGCCGTGAGTTCAGCAACATATTATAAAGTGTCTTTAAATATATACATAACATAAAACAACGTGAAGTATCGTTAACAGAAAAAGACCCAAACTCTTTAAAATAATTTAAAGAGGTTTATTCTGAGCCAAGTGTGTGCAGCCAGCCTAGAGCACATGGCCTCGAGAAATCCTGAGAAATGTGCCCACAGTGGCTGGTTTACAGCTTGATCTTATACATCCGCAGAGACAGGCATTACACGGAAGACCTTACGTCAGTATGTGGAGGGCATCTCCAAATGGGAGCTTACAGGTTATAGCTGGGTTTAAAGAGTCTTTAATTTGTCATTGGTTAAAGAAATTAAGCTTTGCCTAAAGGCTTGGAATGTTTCAACTTAAGGATGTCTGTTAATCAGAGACAAGCCACTGGACATTTACCAAAATTCAAGAGATCTGTTGAGTAAATTGATGGCCTACTGGTGTGGTTTGAGCTTTGTCTTGTGTAGCCTTATGCCTGTTAATGATTTAGCATCTTACTGTTAAAAAGGAAATCTTTAAGAAGGGAGGGTGGCCTGACATGCCCGACTTCCCTTCTCATGGCCAGCAACTCAGCTTTAGGGTATTTCTGGGGTCCCCTTGTCATCGAGGGGACTTAAGATTTTAATTTAGTTCACAGTATTGATCAGTTGACAAAAATGTTGTGGCCAAAGGCTCACAGGAACCTAACCTTGTATTTCCCCTAGGAGCAGTGGTTCAGTGTTCACTAATTCACTGTTTGTGGTGACTTTATAGAACATAACTACTCCAAATAACAAGAATTTATGGTATATGTAAACACTTAGAACAGGGCCTAGCACTTGCCAGATGCTGAATAAATGTTTGTTTTTTAAATTGTAATAATTATTGTTTTATCACATGTAATTTCTACTCTGGATCCCTGTCTTTCTTCCCATCCAAGTGTGTTATTGAACTCTGTAAGCAAACCTAAAGCAGGCCTTTACCTCTTGCCCATAAACCTAGAAGAAACCCTTAAGTAGCTTCCTACTTCCTTGCTCTTCCTGCTCCTTGGCCACATACTTTTTATTAGAGCCACCAACCCTCCTGAACACAGGGCAGCCGGGCACAAAACGAGAGGAGGTTTCAAGTGGAGAGAGACAGGCATTTGAGAGAACGGAGTCTCTGCTGCGCTTTGAGCCGAGCGCCTCTCCCGTTCTGCTTCCCTCCACGCCCGTCAGGGAAGGAGCTTAGCAGACCAGAGGCTCCACTCCTGAAGTCAGCCCTCTAGCCTCCTTCCCTTCCCTTCCCTGACCTGCAGAAAAGCAGAAATGAGAGAGGAAAAGCAAAGTCAGAGAGAAGAGCCCCTGGTCAGCAGGGCAAGAGCAACTAGGGGCTGGGAGGGTTGTCTTTTCCTGACACGAGCCCAGGCCAGCCCACCCTCCAGAGATGGGCCCCTGCGATGCCACGCTGCGCCCACTTCGGGAACCAAGGTGACTTTGGTGGAAGGGGCTCGGTTTCCAGAGGATTTCTTAGGAGAGGAGTGTATCATAAAGATGCGTGGGACCTTTTCCCAGTGGCAGTACTTTAAGCATTTTGAAATGAAGGTAATAGAGAACTTCGGCAGCTGCAGTTTTAAATTTCCTGTTTCCTCTTTTAAGATTTCGTACTGCATTCAGTAGAAAACATTCAGTGTGTCAAATGCTCTCGTGACAGTTTAGGTAGGAAATTACACTTGAAATTGAGTCCCTGTGTGGTTAGAAATGTGTTAAAAAGTGTATGCAACGCATGAGTTTGGCATAAATTTAATAATATTCAGTCATTGGTCTTTTGCTGTCTCTTACAAGCTTGTCTTATGGAATATTGACCTAGCCTGGAACAAAGGTGAACTTCTCCATCCCCACAAAGGTGACAGGAGAGACATCTCCATGGCCTGATTTGAACAGAAAGGTAGCATACCACCACTGTCCATTCACTGCAGCAGGAATGTTAGGATGACTGGGAGGCAACCCCTGCCCTGGGGGAAGGCTGACTTGTAAACAAATAAATTGCGCATGATTTGATAAGTCTAGAAATACTAACAGACACAAGGCACAGCAATGGCCAAGACAAGCTCTAGGCCGGGTGCAGTGGCTCACACCTGTAATCCTAGCACTCTGGGAGGCCGAGGTGGGCGGATTGGTCGAGGTCAGGAGTTCAAAAAACCAGCCTGAGCAAGAACAAGACCCCGTCTCTACTATAAATAGAAAGAAAATTAATTGTCCAACTAATATATGTAGAAAAAATTAGCCGGGCATGGTGGCGCAGGCCTGTAGTCCCAGCTACTCGGGAGGCTGAGGCAGGAGGATCGCTCGAGCCCAGGAGTTTGAGGTTGCTGTGAGTTAGGGTGACGCCACGGCACTCACTCTAGCCTGGGCAACAAAGCGAGACTCTGTTTCAAAAAAAAAAAAAAATAAGATAAGCTCTAGCACTTGCAGTCTGGCCCTCCTCAAAACCAATCCACCTCTCCATTAGGGAGGTAATTTTAAGATGGAATTTTGATCATCTCACTCCTCTGCTTAAAAACCTTCAGCAACTCTCCTCTGTCTTTGGAATAAAGGCCCCGATCTTGATGAAATACACATATCTGATTGTCATCCAGCCCCAGCTGTTCTCACCATCCTCATGAGCCACCATGTCCCTTCTTTCCACAATCTGTGCATGTGCGCACATGTGTACGTTCGTGCAGGCATGTCCACACACATATGAGCACATGGAGAGATTCGCAGACTATGCTAGACTGCCCTGCTGAGTCTGTGAAGCCCATAGCCCCCCATGGGCCTTTCTACACATGGTTCTTATTGCTAAAAACCTCCCCCCAAATGCCTTGTCCCTCTGCCCCCAAACTCCTCCACATTTCCTTTTTTGACTGGTGAGTCCCACCTGAGACCTGTCCTCCAGGAAGCCTCCCTGGACCTCTTGAGAGACGGCTCTGTTCACACCAACACTGAACCCTAATGATGCTCGGGGCTTCAGTTAGTAATAACTGTGTAAGCTCTGCCATCCCTATCCCTGCAGGACTGGTACTGGCCACACAACAGGAGGTGAGCTGCGGGCCAGCGAAGCTTCATCTGTGTTTACAGCTGCTCCCCAAGCAAGAGGGAGCAGTGAGCTAAAGCATGCGGCATGGCAGGGCCCTGCAGACCGTGTGCAGTTTTGGGACTGTGTCCTCCTTAGGATGGGACGCTGCTGAAGGTGTGTGACAGAAGAGACCTGCATTTGAGAAAGCTCACTCTGGCTCATGCCTGGACAGTGGGGCTCAGGGCCCGGAGTGGACATCAGGGACCCGTTAGGGATGTTCAGACCAGGGGAGGGTTGCAGTGCCTTCAGCTAGAGCAGCGTGGAGAGGGCGGAAGTGAACAGCCACGATATTCCAGAAGTGGACGGATGGCACGGGGCTGTGATTGGGTGTGGAGGGTGTGGCAGAGGCGGTGTCCAGGCGCTGGGGACGGGGTAGGGGAAGGCCTGGCGTTCAGAGAAAGATGCCCAGCAGGTGGTTTGTGATGCTGTGAGATGTCCAGGTGCAGAAATTTGAGAGACATCTGGGCAGAGCCCTGCAAGTGACGGAACCCCTGCAGGAAGCCTGAGGGGACAGAAGAGGTGCCAGGCCAGGCCCAGTGAAGCCTGCAGAGGGGTGGAGCTGCAGCACAGAGGGGCTGGGTCCCGTTGCCTGAGGTGACCATGAGCACAGTTCACAGAGTCTCCTCACCTGTGTAGCTCTCCTTCCCACCGCTGTGAAGTCCCAGATGGCATTTGTTCTCCCTTGGGTGCTTGCAGACCAGCACTCCAGTGCTGAAGAAAACATCCAGAAGCTTTTGCTGGGTGTGGATTAACTAAGCCCGGTTTTCCTTGACCGCAGCCCCTCTCCTGGGCGCGGAGCTGTGCGGACCGCTGACCATGAGGACCAGCGGGTCACACCCCTTCCCCAAGGATCTGCTCTTGTAGCAAACTCTGCTCTTAGATTTTGCTGGTAAGCATTATTCCAAAGAAAGGCACAAAGGGGATTTTTTTTAATGCTCATCTGTTGGCTCATCTGTTTTCTGGAAGAGAAATTTTTACACCTCAAACTCCATGAGGAGAGAGAATGCCTTCCTCAGATCCCATCTCTGAAGAGAGCAGAGGGAGGCTCTGCCGGCCGTTTGCTTTATCTTCCTGCTGCAGCCAGCGTGGCTGCCGTGGAACCTGCCGTGGTCACAGTGGTCACAGCCACGCCGTGCGGTGCAGTGCCGGACACTGCTGAGGCCTTCAGAAAGCGCATTTGCTAATCCAGGAAAACAGATGTACTTTCATGAATGGATGCTTTGCATTATTGTGCCAACTGTAAACAGGTTTTGGATGTTGTTTGCATAAAAGGAAAAGTAAATTCAGCGTTTTTGATAACTTATTTCCCTGATCCATTTGTTATGTCCCTGTTGTAATTAGTTGATGGAAATTCAACTGCAGTGTTGCACAGAGGAATAAAACATGTTCCTATGGTAACCGTGGTAATGGCTAGGATATAATCTATAAAGAGCGTGTATCAGAGCAGCTGTATTACGACCTAATTAAAACCAATCTGGCCTTTAAGGAATCCTTAGCATGTGGTGGTGTGTATTCAGCACTTTATTTAAAGAAGAAAAGGAGACCACCTCTGCCTTCGGAGAATTTACAAACTGGGTTTTGAATCAAGCACGAATGCAAGTGAGACCGCTCATGGTGAGCTCCAGCTTGCGCTCAGCGTGCGTGGGGTGGGCCCGCGGCAGTAGCCTCGGAAGCTGCTGCACGTGCAGAACCTCAGGCCTCCAGGTCCTCAGGGAGCGTGAGAGGTGCTGGGCCCCGCTGCAGCTTCTGCGGTGCTTGTGGAAGGAGGTGGATTCAGAGGCATTTCTGTTAGGGAGGTGAATGTAAAGGGTACTTATGAAAACAAGGGTGTGGCTGCCAATTCTCTGAGATCTTACTTTGCAAATTTCCGTTGATGTCCTCATTCCTCCACCTCAAGCCCCTTTGCCAGCGCCACGTCCTCGCCACCTGGCAGCAGGAGCGTCCTTGCTCTCTCCAGGTATTGCCCTGCTGCTCCCTGCCCGCTGTTTCCACCCGGCCCATTCCCCATTCCACTGCCAGAGCAACCAGCTGACACGCAGGAGCGATGGCCACCCTCAGCTTCAGCTCCCGGGTGCCCTCCCTTACCACGAGATCAGATGGTGTTCAGGGAAAACAGACTTGCAGGTATCTGCAGGAAACCTGAGCCCACCTGTAGGGAATGAAAAGCAGAGCAGCTGGGGCAGACAGAGACTCTGAAATACAGCCATGCACCACATAACGATGTTCAGCCAAGGATGGACCGTATGCACAAAAACCTTTCTGCTTAGATACGCAAATCCTTACCATCATGTTACAGTTACCTATAGTGTTCATGACAGTAACGTGCTGCACAGGTTTGTCACCCAAGCAGTAGGCCGGACCACAGAGCCTACGTGTGCAGTAGGCTAGACCACCTAGGTTTGTGCAAGTGTACTCTGTGACAGTTACACAAGGACAAAGCTGCCTAACAATACGATTCTCAAACTGCAGTCCTGTACTTACGTGACACATGACTGTGCCACCAGCCACCACAGAGCTGGGGTGGCCCCGCAGAGGCAGCCCCTGTGGAGGCGAAAGGCCTGGCCCTGCATTTCCTGCATGGACCTGTTGGATATGAGCTGTCTCTGGGACGGGCGTGACCTTGGGCAAGGCTGCTGTCTTCAGTAGAGGGCAGTTCCCAAGGAGGGACTCAGCTGGGAGCGGTCAGCCACCAACATCCAAGTGGCTTATCCCACACGAGATGGAAGGCCAGCCTGGTGACCACGGAGAGGTGAGTTCCGCTGTGGTGCCCGCCGCCAGGTCAGTGTGGGGGGTCCAGCTGAGGCAGCACCCACTGGGGAAATGCGGTGGCAACAGCTGCAGGTGACCTCAGCCAGCATTGGTGGTGGGTGGGAGTCGCTGGTGGCAGCTGCCACAGCCAGAAAGGATTTCGACCACCAAGGGGCACTTGTGAGGGAGGCAGCAGGCAGGGGCTTCTGTGATGGGAGCTGGGGACAAAGACCACTGGATAAGCCTGTTTGGCCAAAGAGCTGACGGTCACTTCGGGGGCATTGTAGCAGTGGTTTACGTCAAGGTTGGGGAAGCGGTTCGTACTTGAATCCCAACTCTGCCATTCAGTGTGGCCAGTTTACTTCATGTTCTTCTCTGTCTCCTCTTTCTTCTCTGTCAGTTGAGAACAATAATAGTACCTGCATCACAGGGTTGTCGTAAGGCTTAAATAAGATTACACAGTACAGATTTGGAGCCCTGCCTGCTATGTATTAAGCACTTGCTTGACCAGTGGCGGACATTGCATTGTTTGTTTGGATAAACAGATCATTGTCCCCAGCTGATCACTTACTTGCTCTGTGACCTTGGGTGAGTTTTGTTGTTGAATTTCCTCCCGTCTCTGCTGAGAAATACATTATTCCATGTGCTTTTTTGTTGATTGCACCTTTTGGAAATTCTCCTGGATAAGAAATTGAATGATAATTTTTCATTAAGCAATCAATTTAGACAATAAAGAAAATAAAAAAGGAAAGAACTAATTTGTGCTGCTGCAAAGAATATTAACATCCCCGGTGCCTGAACTGTGGTCTTGCTTGGCACACGGCCCTCTCTCAGTGCATTTGCTGAGCAAATTGCATGCTGTCCTTCCTCCAGGACAATGTACATCCTAATGCCAGAAAATACATTAAACCTGTATCACAATTATCAAGTCTTCCTTTGTCTTCCCCATTCCCAGAACAGTGAATACATTTCAAAAACTTTGACAGGGACTTTTCATATGCTGTATCCAAGTCAAATGCAGTAAATATAATTTAACTAAAAAGTTAAATGGAAAACTGTCTGTTCTGGATACAGACACGAGTTTCATATTTCCCTCAATATAAATGGGAGGATTTGTGGCAATTATCATAAACACCAGGGTAATCCAAGAGTTGCGTGTACCGGTGTTCTGTCCTGCCTGTCAACAACCCCTAGTTTAGAGCCTTTGCCGTTGGAGCAAGCCTGACTCGCTTACGTGCAGGTGGGCTGTGCAGCTTCACCTCCCGATGGTGCATAGCGTTACGCAGGGTCAGTTTTCTAAATTCTGTGCAGTATTTTAGCTGTGTGCCCTGTGATTCTTCAGCCCTTTACCTGGGTTTCCTTTGGTCAGAGTTTGGACATGTCATCTTTGTTTGTTAGTGGAGTAATGTCACAGTGTCCCTGCCCTCGACACGGCGTGCTTTCCCAAGGCGTGGACATCCCCCCACGGGCTGAGCTCCTGAAGTGGGGAGCACGTCTCTCCTGTTGGGGGTTTTTCTCCTCACGTACTTCCAGAATCTCGAGCAGCCATGTAACATAGTGGATACTCCGCAAATACTCTTTGCAGTGAATCAGTGGGCAAAGGGTTATAATTCCAGGTGTTCACTAGAAATTATCTTGTCTTTCCTCCTTTTTTTAAAATAACAGACCAAAGGTCCAGGGACTTTCTTGCAAGTGACTTTCTTGCCATGTTATAGCTGGTCAGGAACAGAGCAAGTGACACTTTGTGACCAGAGCCTTCCTCGGCTCCACCACATTGGGAGGGAGGGCTGAGGACCTTGGCCAGCATCTTTTCGGACGTCAGAGTCTGCTCTCACCACCCGCGTTTCCCGTACAGCTATGGTTATGGAGGCAGAAGGCAGTCATAGTGTAGATTTTCTTCTTTTGCTCCAGGCCCATTTGTTAATCACTCTTGCAGAAGGCTTGATTACAAACAAAAACTGACCATTTTATTCTTCTCTCAGACAGTCCTCGCCCCACCTCACCTAGCCCAGCCACCAAATCTGAAAAATTTAGATTTACAAAACTTGGTGTAGTTTTTGTCCTAGGTTTTCATCAACATATTAGTAGATAAAAGGGATATTCTAATAGGAGAATGTGTGTTTTGAAAGTGCTTTTATATTCCCTACAGCAAACTTTAGGGAGACGCCTCAGAGTTTGAATCTTGGGACGCCACAAGGTGGCGAAGTTTTGCCACAGATGGTCTCAGAGCCCAGGAGGGGCGGGCGGCGTACACACAGGGTTCCGGGCTCTCCCCGGGCCTCGTGCTCCTAGGGAGGACAGGGCACAGTCTCTCCTGCCACAACCCGGTACCTTGTCCCTACGTCACCTCAACTTATGATGGGAATAGTGGCATCCGTGCAGGCTTTCAGGGGCATAGGAGATTTTACTGATTTAAGTGTATTTTATTGCAAACTGGAAATATTTGGCTGCTAAAACAGGCAAATCAGCAAATTTTTTTCTTTTTCTTTTCTTTTTTTTTTTTTTTTTGACTCAGAAGCCTCCATTTCTGTTACTACTTTTGTCCTTGGCTTTTTGTAGTTCTGCCTACGGCCCAACGTCCCAGTGTAAACAGGACACAGAGCGGGGGCCTGCGGGGCGCCAGGCTCTTCTGCAAGGACGTGGTCTCACTCTGGTTACTTTTCATCTGAGCTCAGGTTAGGAAAAGTCTGGCTGGGTGAGACCTGCCGACACTGTGGTTAAGGAGCGTGTGCCGAGAACCAGGTAAAATACGACAAACATTTTAGCCAACGTGACTGTGGGCAGTATAAACGTCGGAGTTGCCCTGGGTGACCACTTAGTGGTCAGGTGAGTGGATTCTGGTCTAAAAGAGCTGGGCTCAGAGTTTGACCTGCCTGACTGTGTGATCCATCCCAGACAAGTTACCTAACCTCCCCGTGGCTCAGTGTCTTTCTGTAGCAGGGGAAGTGGTGGTGTGCAAGGTGCCTAGAGCACTTTAACATACATTAGGTACTGTAATGTCATAATTTTTATAGTGTCCCTCTTTGTCCTGTGTGATGTCTCCTTTCCAGATCATTTTAGACTTGCAAAAATAGTATCGTTTGCTTATACCCTTCCCCTGATTTCCCTTAATGTTAGCATTTTATGCACCCGGGCTACAGCGGTGAAGACCAGGAAAGCAGGGGCTAGTCTCCACCTGTCACGTCTCTCCAGGTGTCCCTGAGTGCAGATTCCTGTGTAGGATCCAGTCCCCATTGCAGTCAGCAGTCCTGTCTCCTTGGCTTCCACTCGCCTGTGACAGTGATGCTTTTCTTTATCTTTCGTGACCTTAGCACGCTTGAAGGTTGCTGGCCAGTTCCTTCGTAGAATGTCCCCAGACGTGGGTCTGTCTGGTATTTCTGCGTGATCACGCCGGGCTGTGCGGTCTTGACAAGAACGTCACGGGCCGTGCTGTGTCCTTCTGCCTGCATTGCGCTGGCGGGGCTTGGTGTCTGCATGTCTTTCATCTTTTCATAGGGGCGGTGGACCCTGTTCCCCCGGGCAGGAGGGCATCAGCCGGGTTTCTTCACTGTGGAGTGACTTCACTGTTCTCCTCTCTGTCATTAACTCGGACTTCACGGGAAGATGTTTTGAGCTAGCAAGTGTCATTTCTCATGACATCCACCCTCGACTCTTAGCATCAGTCCATGATTCTTGCCATGCCCATTATTACTGTGGTGTTGGCCAAATGGTAATTTTTTATTTCCATCATTGTTTCTACATTTATTTTTTGAAATTCTACGGTAAGGAAGGGCTCTTTTCTACTGCTTGCACGTATATGTGTATTATTCATTCATTTAGTTATTTATATGACTGTGGGCTCATGTGTATTTATTTTATTGGGTGGATCACTAATTACTTTCATTTATTTTGTTGCAAAAATTGTCCCAGCCTGGGCCACTGGGAGCTGCTTTAAGCGGACTGCTGTTTTCTGCCAGCGTGCCCTCACCGTTTGCCGAGCACTTCCTTAGCTTCTGGCACCAGGTGCTGTAAGCTCGTCTGTGTTTTCCCAGCCCAGCCCTGGAGTCGCCCTTTCTTGAGGAGCCCTGGTTCTCTTTATTGAAAAGTCATACTCAGGAACCAGTAGCTGGGGTCTGGGTATGCTCGTTGCTGTTGGTGTGTCATTGCGGCCGGGCACCTGGGCAGACAGAGCTGAGGGGAACGTGTGTGTGTGCGCGCGCGCGTGCACCCCATGTACTCACGTCTGTGTGTCTCTGTGATTCTGTGTCTATCCATAAATACGATGCATGACTCCTGTGGGTATAGATCTACATTATATATCACTCCTGGTGTGTATATAAACACACACACAAATGGCTCATATGCCATTAATATCATTTCTGTATATATTAACCACAGGGCCATTCCGATGCCTGCCGTCCATTCTGTCCTCCCCTTTCCTTATTTGTGATTCCTTTTCCTGGCAGTGAGAAACCTGGCTCTCGTCACCCACAGCATATTTACTTATTTGCTCATTCCTAAATTAAACATAAAGTCATTTCAAAATTCATTACTCAGACTCTGGTGGAAAACACATTTCCGGAGGAGAGTGAAATCTTTGTGTGTAGATACTTCTGGCTGCAGCGTTACAGGGCCTGGCCACGCTTTCCAGATTACGCAGGGTAGCTATTCTCGCCACTCCCTCAGCACAGGTATCCGTTCATGACTCAGGCTCATCTGGTCCTGTTTACTTCCCACTTTGGGTTCCCCTGCATCCCAGCTGATATTCAATACTAATTTTGGAGGAGTATTAACAACCATTGTTCTAAGGGCCAGAACTGTACCAAAAGGGGGTCCCATCCCCAAGTCCCTTCTCCAGGTCTTCCTCATTCTCTTCGCCCCATTCAGACTCGCCCCTGTGGGTCGCTAACTCAGCAATTTACAGTTCATGCTTCGTTTTTCTTTTGCACAAAGAGCAGGTACATGTATGCTTTCTGCCTTCTTATGTGAAGGATAATGTACTATACATACTGTTTGCATTTTGCTTTTTTCACTTAAACAGTATGTCCTGGAATCGGACAGTATCAGTTTATAGAGATCCTCCCCCCTCTCTCTTGCTGTCTTTTTTTTTTTTTAACAGCTGCACACTATTAATATGATATTGCACTCCATCATTTTCTCAATGACTACTTAAGTTGTTTTCCAGTAAGAAAATGTTGTAATGAAATAACCTAATGCGTATGTGTACATATACACACATATGCATATTCCTGTTGGAGGTTGTCAGTTATCTGTGGCCGTGTAACAAACTCCCTCCAAATTTAACAGCTTAAACATGGGACATTTGTGCTCTCACAGGTGCTGTGGGTCAGGCACCTATGCACGGCCTCACCAGCTCCTCTCGCTCAGGGTCTCCCACAGGCCACAGTCACACAGTCGGCCTGGGCTGCGGTCTCACCTGAGGAGGATCTGCTTCCACGCTCACTCCCAGGATATTGGCAGGATACAGTGCCTTGCGGGTTGTTGGACTGGGAGCCTCAGTTCCTGGCTGTCTGGAGGCCAGAGGCTGCACTCCGGCCCTTGTTGTCCCGGGGTGGCTCCCAGCTTGGCAGTTGGCTTCGCTAGAATGAGCAAGCAAGACACGGCAGGAGAAGTTGAGCAAGGTGTGAGTTGGTCTTTTGTAACCTGATCTCCGAAATGACATTCCATCACTTTCGCCATATTCCGTTCATTAGAATTGGGTCACCAGGGCCAGCTCCCACTCAAGGGAAGGACATTGCACAAGAGTATGAATACCAAGAGGTGGGGATCATTCGAGGACATTTTGGAGGCTGCCAACGACAGAGGAGTATCTTCAGATTAAATTCCCAGAAGCAGGATGGCTGGGTCCAAATTAAATGCATGTGTAGTTTTGCTCGATATTCCCAAATTCCCCTGCAGGAGGTCCACGCAGCTGTGCATTCCAGCCAGTAACGTGTGAGCGTGTTTGCCCACAGCCTTGCCAGCGGGATGGACTGTCGGGCTTTTCTGTCTTCTATAATTTGATAGGTGAAAAATAAAAATTATGTGTATGTATGTGTGTGTGTATATATATATACACATACATACCTTGGAGATACTGCAGGTTCAGTTCCAGACCACTGCAGTAAAACAAATACTGCAATAAAGCAAGTCATGTGAAATTTTTTTTTATTTTTCCAGTGCATACAAAAGTTATGTTTACACTGAAGTTTGTAAGTGTGCAGTAGCATTATGTCAAAAAAAAAAAAAAAAAAACCCAACGTAGGCCGGGCGTGGTGGCTCACGCCTGTAATCCTAGCACTCTGGGAGGCCGAGGAGGGCGGATTGCTTGAGGTCAGAAGTTCGAAACCAGCCTGAGCAAGAGCAAGACCCCGTCTCTACTATAAATAGAAAGAAATTAATTGGCTAACTAATATATATATAGAAAAAAAATTAGCCGGGCATGGTGGCACGTGCCTGTAGTCCCAGCTACTCGGGAGGCTGAGGCAGCAGGATTGCCTGAGCCCAGCAGTTTGAGGTTGCTGTGAGCTAGGCTGACGCCACATCACTCACTCTAGCCTGGGCAAGCGAGACTCTGTCTCAAAAAACAAAAAACCCAATATACATACCTTAATTGTAATATACTTTATTACTAAAGATGCTGATGATCATCTGAGCCTTCAGTGGGTTGTAGCCTTTTATGCTGGTGGAGGGTCCGGCCCTGATGTCGGTGGTGCTAACTGATCAGCGTGCGGTTGCTGAAGGTTGGGGTGTTGCAGTTTCTTAAAATAAAACAATGAAGTTTGCTCCATTGATTGACTCTTCCTTCACAGAAGATTTCTCTGTAGTGTGTGATGCTGTTTGATAGCATTTTGGCCACTGCAGAACTTCTTTCAACATTGGAGTCAACCCTCTCCAACCCTGCTGCTACTTTGTCAGCTGAGTTTATGTGATATTCTAAATAAAGCCTGTGTTGTCCCTTCCACAGTGTCCACAGCACCTTCACCAGGAGACTCCATCTCAAGAAACCACTTTCTTTGCTCATCTATAAGAAGCAGCTCATCACCTGTTAAAGTTTTATCATGAAATAATAAAATAATAAATATTGCAGCAATTCAGTCACATCTTCAGGCTCCACTTCTGATTTCTCGTTCTCTTGCTGTTTCCACCACATGTGCAGTTACTTCCAACACTAAAGTCTAGAACCTCTCAGAGTCATCCGTGAGAGTGGGAATCAACGTCTTCGAAATTCCTGTTAATGTTGATATTTTGACCTCCTCCCATGAATCACAGATGTTTTTAATGGCATCTAGAATGGCGAGTCCGTTCCAGAAGGTGTTCAGTTGACTTTGCCCAGATCCACAGCCAGTACAAAAGGTACTTCTTACATAATAAGATGTGAAAGTTGATACTACTCCTTGATCCACGGGCTACAGAATGTCTGTTGCGTTAGCAGACTTGAAACAACATTCATCTCCTTGTGCGTCTCCTTCGGAGCTCTGGGCTGACCCGTGCATTGTTAATGGGCAATAATATTTAGAAAGTGATCTTTTTTTCTCAGAAGTTGGTCTTAAGAATGGGCTTAAAATATTTAGTAAACCATGTTGTAAACAGAGGTGATGTCACCCAGACTTTGTTTTTCTATGTATAGAGCACAGGCAGATAGATTTAGCATAATTCTTAAGGGCCCTAGGATTTTCAGAATAGTAGAGGAGCATTGACTTCAACTAAAAATCCCCATCATGTTGATATTTTAGTTCTAGGCTGTGTGGATACAGTGTCTGTACTTTTTTGTTGTGTTAAATTAGATTTTGCCTGAGGCTGCCTCCATACCTTGAATCCCTAAGTAAGGAACTGCAAACTAACTTAGTAGGTAACAAATTAAAGCCAAATTTAGGAGTATGTTTTGTAACAAATAGCTGGGTCTCAGCCAATCAGAGCAGCCACCTTCAGCCAATCACAGGCTGCCCACTGACCAGACTGGACAGTGAAGGCAGACACAGAGCTGTGACCTGTTTCTGTCCCTCACTTTTCTTTTCTCTCTACAGAGGAGCAGAGCTCTCCGAACCTCCACCAGTTCAGTGTTGCTGATTCATGAATCATTCTTTGCTCAATTAAATTCTGTTAATTTGTCTTAACATTTTTCTTTTAACAAGTCCTGTAATGAACTTTACCTAGGTATTTTGATCACCCTTAATTTCCATGTCTTATAGAAATTTCGTGGATTTGTTTATTTTCTTATCTAAGTCCTTCCTTCAAGAGCATTTTAAACTTGTGGCAACATTTGGGGGGAGGTGTTGTATGAAGAAGAATATTTTTTTATCATATTCTCACATTTGAGTGACAAGTTGACTGGATAAAAATTTTAATATTTGAAGTTCTTTTAATACTTTAAAAACGTTACACCATTATTCCCTTGTAGTGTTTTGCTATTGTAAAATCCATTATCAGTCTAACTCTTACTTCTCCGTAGATAGGATGATGATATAACTTATCATTCAACCAGGACTAGTACTCAAGCCTGGCCAGTAGGCATAAACAAGGACCATCAGCTTTGTCAACTGAGACATTTGATCTACTTATTTATAGGTGTCTAGTCACCCTATTTATAGATGATTGATTCTTTCTCTCTGGAAGGTTTTAAAATTTTCTCTTTGCATATGATAGTCTTAGGTTTTGCTATAATACTTCCAGGTGTGGGTTTTTTGTTGTTCCCTACTTGTGATTTCTAGTAAGAAAAATATATTTGGTCTCCCTCCCGCCCTATTCCCAGGCATATAGTTTCCTAAAAAGCCTTGGAATCTCCAAAGTGAGAGTCTTTTTGTATGCCAATGAGGTGAACGATGGCTGGAGGGTTTGCCAAGGTAACTACCCTGTAGACAGAGATGTGGAACTTTCAGCCCTACTTGACCCTTCCCCTGCCTCCCCCACCTTGGAGGGGAGAGGAGCAGGAGGTCGAGTCAGTCACCAGTGGCTGATGATTTAATCAGTTGTGCCTACATGATGAGGCCTCCATAAAAATCCGAAAAGACTGGGTTCAGAGAGCTTCTGGGTGGGTGGACAGGAACATATTATTTACGCACTGGGAGCGTCGTGCAAGCCGGTACCATGGGTACAAACTCCTGTGCTCAGGACACTCCCGAACCTCTCCCTGTGTATCTGTTCATCTGGCTGTTTATTTATATTCTTTAAAATATCTTTGGTGACAAATCAGCAACAGCAGGTGTTAACATTTATGGGAGGCCATCACTTTGGACTAGCCTCCCGAGCTAGGCCCCAGCAGACTAGACCAGGCCACGGTGAAGTCCCTCGTGCTAAGTGTGATGTAATCAACCTGAACTTTGAAATTCCTTCCTCCTTTCCTCTGACGGTCTCATTCTGTCTCCCAGGTTGGAATGCAGTGACATGACCATAGCTCACTTCCACCTTGAACTCTCGGGCTCAAGGGATCCTCTCACCTCTGCCTCCCAAGTGTTACAGACATGAGCCACCATGCACTGCCTGCCTCCCTCCCTTCCTTCCTTCTTTCCTTCCTCCTTTTTTTGTTCCTGTGATTCCTGTTCTAATTTCATTCTTGGGCTCTTTTACTGGGGTCAAATATAGAGTGCACTTATCCTGCCAACATGAGCCTTTCCAGTCCATGTACAACTTTTATTCATTATTTATAAAATCTGAAAAGATACTCTGTTCTTTCTTTTCTTTTTGGTAGAGATGGGGTCTCACTATTGCTCAGGCTGGTCTCAAACTTCTGAGCTCAAGCAGTCCTCCCACCTTGGCCTCCCAGAGTGCCAGGATTATAGGTGTGAGTCACTGCGCCCGGCCCATTCTGCTGTTCTGTACTGAATGCTATGGATTGAATGCTATGGATTTTGGAAAAAATCCAAAACTCTGTGAAATAATTTAAAGAGGTTTATTCTGACCCAAATATGATTGACCAACGGCCTGGGGCACCGCCTCCAAGAAGCCTTGAGGAAGTGGTCCCCTGGCGGTCATGTTACAGTTTGGTTTTATACATTTTAGGGAGACAGGACTTGCAGGTGAAATTATTAATATAAAGCAATACATGGAAGATATACATTAGTTTGGCCCAAAAAGGCAGAACATCTTAAAGTTGGGGCTTACAAGATGTAAGACTCTTGGTCCAACTCTTTGATTTGTAATTGGTTAAAGAAACAAAGCTTTGTCTAAAGGCTTGAAATGTTTTAAATTAAGACAAGGAAGTCTGTTAATCAGAGACAAGCTGCAATGTACAGACTCAAGTGATCCGTTAAGCAAATTGATGGTCTGCAGGCATGACTTAACCTTTGCCTTGCATGGCCTTAGGTCCTGTTAGTAATTTAGTGTCTTATTGTCACAAAGAGTCTGTTTCGCCAGTCTTATGATCTCTGCTAACATTAATGCTGGTCAGTTGTTTTATCTAAACTCCAACAGGGAGGGTTTATAATGAGGCATGTTCAACCTCCCTCCCTTCATGGTCAGGAACTCACTTTTAAGGTTTTGCTGGGGTCCCCCTGGCTAAGAGTGGGATACATTCCGTTGGCAGGGGGGCTTAGGATTTTATTTTAGTTTACAGCTGTGTCCCCCAAAATTCATATATTGAAATCCTAACCTCCCTGCTATTAGGAGTTGGGTCTTTGGAGGTGATTAGATCACAAAGGTAGCGCCCTCACGACTGGGATTAGTGCCCTTATAAATAAAGCCCCAGAGAGCTTTCTGCCTCTTTCTACCATGTGAAGATACAATGAGAAGATAGCAAAACAGGAAGCAGCCCTCACCAGACACCAGATCTGCTGGCAATCTTGGATTTCCCAGGCTCCAGAACTGTGAGGATAAGTGTTCATTGTTTAAGCCTACGGTCCCCAACCCCCGGGCTGTGGACTGGTACTGGTCCATGGCCTGTTAGGAACCAGGCTGCACAGCAGGAGGTGAGCAGAGGTGAGCCAGCCAAGCTTCCTCTGTATTCACACCTGCTCGCCATCACTCCCATCACTGCCTGAGCTCCGCCTCCCGTCACGTCAGCAGAGGCATTAGATTCTCACAGGCACTCAAGCCCTACTGTAGACTGCGCGTGGGGGGATCTAGGCTGCGCACTTCTTATGAGCATCTAATGCCTGATGGTCTGAGGTGGAGCTGAGGCGGTGATGCTAGTGCTGGGGGGCGGCTGCAAATACAGATCAGCGTTAGCAGAGAGGTCTGACTGCACAATAAATGTAATGCGCTCGAATCATCCTAAACCATCCTCCCCACTCCCAACTCCCTGGTCTGCATAAAAATTGTCTTCCATGAAACCAGTCCCTGGTGCCAAAAAGGTTGGGGACCGCTGGTTTAAGCCACTTAACCTATGGTATTTGTTGTAGCAGCCCAGATGGACCGAGTCAGACAGCCCATCTCCAGTACTTCTAATACTCTCGGCAGAGCCTTAGGCACTGGGAAAAGCCTCTGGGCCTGCAAAAGCAGGTGGCAGGCCCGTGGCCTCCCCGGAGAGGACACCACACTGCACCACTTCCCGTGCTCAGGTCCTCCTCCTCCTCTGAGTTGCCGACAGCTAATGCGTCGTGTCACTTGTCTGAGCTTGGTTAGAGTTCCTAATGGCAAATAGCAGAATCTACTCTGATCAGTTTAAGAAGAAAAGGGATTTGCTAAAGTATATGAGGTTGCTCACAAAACCAAGTTATCATATTGGCGAATGGGAATGAGTTTGAGACTTTGCTTCGTTCAGGACCAACACCCAAACAATGCTGTGGCACTAAATACATGAGAAAGCTGCCCCCATTTCTGCTGCCACCACAACTAGCCACCACTCCTGATCACAAAAGCTGCAGAGACCAGCAGGGGGGATGTTCTGCAGAGAGCCTGCTTCCTGTGATAATTCCAATCTAAAGTGTCATCGCGTGTGTCCGACTGGCCAAGTTGAGGCTACTGCCCTGCTTGCTGGCTGCAAGGGGGTGTGCTGGGAGACAGGCTGATAAAAAGGAAGTTTAGGAACTTCATAAAATATATAAAGGTTATTTAAGCTGCTATGGGCTATGATGATGACGAATACTCACTACAAAGCTCCCAAGGAGCCCGCAGTCTACTGGAGGAGACA